AATTTGTTAGAAATTGATCGTCTCCGGTGATTGCAGATCTGTCTCTTATACACTATAGGCATGCAGATGTACAGGACAAAATAACATTACTTTTTCAGGGAGAAGAGCCCCCTAAAATTATAAAAGAAAATGGAGAAAAAAAAATCATAATTGTCTGAGAGTGCCATTTCCGGCCATTTTGGGGTGCCATAATCATAAATTTTCTCACCTCAGCTCCAATCATGGGGCTGAGGTGGTATTGACCATCTGTCTCAAGTTCCTCCCTTCACCCCCACCCTCTATTTCTCCTGCTTTAACTGTAGGTTCCTAGACAATACTTAAATGAATGAAAATTTAAATAGGATATTACAAATTATGGATTTTAGAAATCCATTAAAAAAGGTCCTCAAAATGATAATTTGTCAGAGCTTCCAGAAGATTCGCCCCACCCTCGCGGGGATCCCTAGGCAGTCGCCCATCGTAAGGTCCACTTCGGTTGCAAAACGCACCTCCCCATCGAAAATCCTGCCTACGGGCCTGCCTATTCTAGGCATTATAGGCTAGGCTTTATGTGGGCTGGGATTTGCAACAAGGTCTTGGACTATAGGCCTCTGTACTATAGTAGGAGGCCTGGTCCTAGTCTAGGCCTATAATATAGTAAAATTCTGTATAAGTAGTCATTATGATTACAGGTTTACATTGTACCAAGGTCAATATTAACGATCGCATTTATTTTTCATTGAAAATAATTATAAAAAAAAACTTTAAAAAAAAGTTAACTTAAGGATTTTAAAATATTCAAAAAAACTGTACACTTCAATAAAAAACAACGCGATAGGATATGAAGTTTGCGAGAATAATTGGTATACTTGTACTGTATTATTTTCTGAAGCGCCGTTCGTTTTTGGGGTTGCTACAATCAGCAGTTGTTACATCAGTGGCGTCTCGGGCGCTGACGGAGGGGAGAGGGGAACGCCAGGGCCCCAAGTGCGAGGGCCTCCCCCTCCCCCGACATTGTTTAAACAAAATATAATATAAACTATAATACCGTAGTTTCATTCAATGGGGCCCCGACAGTTTTAAACAATAAAAGCTGGGTTCTGATGTTTGAGATCATGCTTCTGCTTTTGTGATCAATCTGTTTTGCAGACGCACACAGTTAATTTTTCAATCTCCAGCTAATTTTAAATAGCATCCAAAATCCTCCTTTTTGGAATGTAAGGAAATAGATAGTGCTTTTCCTTCGTTTGATCGATTGTAACTCCTGATTGTAGCAACCCTAAAACGAATGGCACTTCAGAAATACAGTACAGTATACCAATTATTCTCTCAAACTTTATATCCTATCGTGTTGTTTGTGTTTTAAGTTAACTTTATTTATTTATTTTTT